TTCTGGGTTCGAGCCTCCCATCAGGCTCTGTGCTGACAGCTCAGAGCCTGGAGCCTGCTTCAGAGTCTGTGTCTCCCTCTCTCTCTGCCCCTCCCCCACTCAATCTAGCGTGTGCACGTGCGTGCTGTCTCTCTCAAAAATGAATAAACATTTTTTAAAAAATTTTTAATGGACAGTGTTATTTTGTTGTTCTGTGCTTAGTAGTTTTAGTAAAGAATTAGAGGTCTTCTTCTATATATTTAAGCGGGAAAACCTTACCAACGTCTCTTTAATAAAACATGGGTTAGTGTGCTTTTTGTTACAAGGGAAAATAGAAAATAAAAGAAAAAAGCTCAAACTGGCTTAAACGAGAAGGTAATTTATTGGATCCTGTGACTTAAAAGTCCAGAGAAGGGACAGCATCCAGTAGTGAGGAACCATCAAGGGGGTGATGCTGGTGGGCACAGCGAATCAACGGGAAGAGCACACGCTTGCTCTTCCTGCCTCCAGCATCCCTCTAGTGCCCCCTGTTGGCGGAGTCCAGCAGGTCTAGATGGCAATGCGCACATGTAGTCTATGGAGTCACAGGCCAGCGTCACAGAATTAAGTACAGAAGACACAGGGTTTGGACTGGAGACACAATAGCTTAATCACTGTCACATCTCTATAGCAAATGATTTTTCAAAATTGCTGTCAAATGAAAAGATAATCCGAGAGAATGCAGTCAAGAGATCTAAGAAATTAGTATCATGGAGATACATCAAGCAGTTAATTAATAAAAGCACCTATGCTATTTTGCTAGATCGTGTGCGTGTTTGCTGTTATTTTCTGTATTGAAGTTGTAATTTCTTTTCTCACTCTAAATCAATGTTACCTACGTACTTTAGGAAAAAAAAATAAAATAAAAAGGGTTTACAATATTCCCCGGTAACATCCAATGATCACAAAATCCCAAGAATGAAACTATGAAGGGAATAGCCCTTCCAAACCTCTGCTCACCCCCAAGGGGAAGCCCAGCTCAATGGGTATCTTCTCCCAGGTGCTTCATTCCCCAGAGCTTAGCTGAAAGTGGAAAAGGGGAGAAGACGAGGTCCCCGGGCCCTCCAGGCTTCGTTGTCTCTGCTGTTTGCACAGACTGCACTGGAGAGAACCATCCCATCATGCCTGGCCCACTGCTTCTTGCACAGAGGAGGTACTGAGTCAGCATTTTAGCTGGATTACAGACTTTTTCCTGTCTGAGCTCCTCCCACCATCACTGCTCTTTCCCCCTGCAGGAAGTGCATCCTTTGGAGAGCAACAACCTTTTTGTGTTTTTTTGTAGGTTGGGGGGGGGGGCATACTATCTCCCCTCTTAATCATGACAGCCTAAATGTTATTTGTCTGGGTTTCTGTTCAAGTTCTTCTATATAACTGTATATAGGCTCATAAAATAAATAAATGTAAGCTCCTGGAGGGAAGGCATGGCCTGTTTCTTTATGTTCCCTTTGCATTTCGTAGCAGTTAGAATTTCATTCCATTGCAAGGAACAGAGATCTGAAAAATAATGGCTTAAACATAGGACATTTTGCATTGTCATGTAGAGTAGGTCAATTTAGTCTGTTCGTGTTATGGCCCTGCCAGCCGTCACCAGCTAAGGTTTCTTCCAGCTCTCTGCTCCAGCATCTCGAAGGAATGGATGGCCCTGTATGCCACTGTGGCTGTCGGAGCTCCAGACATCACTTCCATGTTCCAAGCAGCAGAAGAGAGGAAGGGAAAGAGCATACCCCTCCCTTTTAAAAAAGGAGACCTTTGCAAGTCCGAGTACCCTTCTGCTTATATCTCGTTTTCCAGAACTTAGTTGCATGGCTGTACCCAGCTGTAAGGAAGGCTAGAGAATGCAGTCTTTTAGCCAGTGGAAGATATGCCGAGCTACAAATGAGATGATATTACTAAGGAAGAAGGTGATGAATATTTGATGATATTGCTGGAAAAGGTAACAGAATATTGGTAAAGGACTTCTCCTTGGGGAGCAGTTTAAAGAGATTAAAGTTTAAGTTGAAGATTAAAGTAAAATTTAAACGTCCAGAAAGGCTGAGATGACAAAAGGGCTCTCAAGACAGTTTACTCAGAGAGGAAGATTTGCAACATTCAGAGGCCGTTCCCCGCCCTTGGTTTTTTTAACATTGAAAATATCGATTGGGTTATTTTATGATTCCAGAAGTCTATCTGTGAACTTTAGAAAATTTAGAAAAAGAAAAAAATAATGCCCGTTACTCCCGGGACCTAGAGACAACCCTAATTAACATTTCAGTGTGCTCTACTTAAGTCTCCTCCAGGCATAAATAACGTTAATTTTTAACAAGTAAAAGAAAAACTCACTCTTGTTATTTGTAGCAGTGGGGTTGTTTTGTTTTGTTTTGTTTTGAGAGAGAGAGAGAGAGCATGAGTGAGCAAGGGGGCAGAGAAAAAGGGAGAGACAGAGAATCCGAGGGGCAGAGAGAGAGGGAGAGAGAGAGTGTAGAGCCCAAAGTAGGGCTCAAGCTCACCAACCTTGAGATCATGACCTGAGCCGAAGCGGGATGCTTAACCGACTGCACCACCCAGGCGCCCCTGTCGTAGTGTTTTAACTGTGTTTTTTGAAAAAGAGGTATCTTGAAGTGTTCCCCAACCCCCCACACTGCCTTCGTTCCTTGTCCTGCCCTCCAATCCATGATCACCGCTCATGGCAGTCTCAGTAAATCACATCTCAATTTATCTTTCGCGTATTCCCGCAGCCACAAGCTTCCAAATCCCCTGTGACACGTTTTATACAAATGCCGGCCCAGCACGCACACTGTTCCTCACCTTGCTTTTCCCACCCACACTTTATTCTGCCCTGTGCTTTTTGCCAGATCAACACGAGAGCGTCCCTCTCTGCTTTCGTGGCATTTCTTGCAGTGGACTTACCCCATTTATTAAACAGCTCCTACCAATGGGCACGTGAGTTGTTTCCAATCTTCTCTACGACAGACAATACACAGCCCGTTATGGGTCTCATTTGCGTGTGGTAACATATTTATAGGATAAATTCCTAGAGGTGGGCTTGCCAGGTCAAACGCACTTGTCATTGTGACGGGAACTGCCAATCGCTCTCCACACTGACTGCAACAACTTGCGCTCCCACCAGCAGCACGTGAGAGGGTCTGGTTCCCCGCGGCCGCATCAAAAGTGCGTGTTTTCAA